TTCAAGTCCAGAAATAGTTCCAAGATCAGCAGGAAACATGGCAGGCCACTGAGATGAAGACTCAACCAAATGCAAGATCCCAGTGTGCTGAAAGGTCAAGATCTTTCTCAAAGTGCCCTCTTACATACTGGAAGCAGATCATGTCCCTATGGCAGCTACTCATTTGCTCACAGCAGATTCTACCATGGAGTTGATTACCAGTCTCATTATGGGGAATAACTACATCCAGCTGCCCAGCCACTCAAAACCAGGCCCAGCCAAGTTGACATGTAACTTTATCACACACTTGGCATTTGGAGTCAGACCTCTCTTTGAGGACCTGGATTTTGCCCTTTGGAGACTGACTGTAGACACATCATTTAAATCTCCTGCTTCTCAAACTGTAATGTGCATGCAGATCACCTGAGGATCTTGTTAAAATGCAGACTCTGATTTAGCAGGGCTGGTGGGGGGGGGTGCTGGGAGTCCACATTTCTAACAAGCTCCCAAGTGAGGCTGACACTGAGTACCTCATTGAGCCCCAGTGGCCTCAACCATGAAAACCTCATCTGTAAAGTACAGGTCGTATCGATGCATCCATGTGCTGTGGATGTCTTCTCAAACAGTCTGTGTTAAGTGGCAGAGCCATGCCTAGTTCTGACCTCCTTTGACAAGACCTGTTTGGGTGGTTGGGTAAGAGCCTCACACCTGTTAGCTGTCCAGCTGTCTTAAGTTGATGATGTGACTCACATCTTGGGAGAAGTCTTGGGGTGGTAACTTCTTATAAGCTTCCCAAGTTTACGACCTCTCATTGTACTTCCCACAGCTTGGGCGGATCCATTCAACCTGGGGTAGGGGCCTCGGGTGAATTTGCCTGGAGATGACAGCAGGAGATTCTGGCATGGCATTCATTCCCGGCTCTTTCTCCTTTGCTGCAGGTGGCTGCCTTTATAAAGTCTCCGGTGGGTCAGTACTTGGACAGGCATCCTTTTCTGGCCCTCACCTTGCTGGTATTCATTGCCATGTCAGCCATTCCGGTGGGCTTCTTCGTGCTCCTCGTGGTGCTTTTGTCCGTGGCTGCTCTTGTGGGAGTCATATTACTGGAAGGTAACCTGCTCAGTTATTCACCCCCTTGAAGGAAGACTCAACCACAAGGACACTATTTATCAGGCATCTACTACTCTTGTCAAGGGTTCCCATTCTTGTCAAAATCACATTAACCAAAGCATCTGGTTGGAGTAGTTAAAAGATGACTCTGGAGTTTAGATTAGAAGCCACTTTTACCAGTGTGATCTTGAGCACATTATTTGTCCTTTCTGAGCCTCAAATTCATCATACGGAAAATGGGGATATAATGATATACTATATCAGAGGGTTGTTTTGAAGATTGAAGCTGACCATTCCATAAAAGTATTTAGCATAGAGCCTGGCCCAGAGTAGTTGTCAGTGAATACTATCTATTAATAATAATTATTATTCTTGTTACTAATCAGAGAGGCCATTCATTCCATAGCTAGTTCCTGATCACCTATTGCATGCCAGTTTCCTTGTTAGGTAGTGAGGCTCCATCTTCTCTACTTTTCCTGCTGAAGTACCACTGCCAACTGTCAACTTCTCCCTGTGTCACCAAGTTAAAATCCCAGAGAAAAAAAAATCTGATTGGCTCAGTTTGCCTTTTCAGATCATATCACAGACCACAGGATACTGGCCAAGGAGATGGTTGCTCCTAGCTCATAGGACCATCTCTGGTCCATTCCATGGCTTTTTAGGGCCGTGAGCAACCAGGGTTGTTTTCCTGCCCAGGAGACTGTAGACAAGGTAGTTTACACTCACAGAAGGTGAGTGTGGTGATGGATGAGTCTAAACACAGCTGGGCAGAGGGGTTCAGTAAATATTGATAGACAAGTGACTGGATGAATGGGTGGAGGAATGAATGAATGATGGAGTACAAAAGCGGAAGTAAGTTTAGAGGGAAAGAAGGGAACCATTAGATTTTTATGGCATTAAGGAAGACTTTATAGAAGGGAGCGAGTTTAGAGATGATTCACTCTTTGTCTTGGGGTGGTCAAAGAAATGCTTTCTGGTCAGGGAAAAAGCATGTGCAAAGCCTTCAGAGCAGTGATTCTCAGACTTGAGTCTGAGCATAAGTGTCGACTGCTTTTTGAAAATGCAGATGTCCAAGCCCCATCCAGAGATTATAGGTCTGGAATGGGGCCTAGGAATCTGAATTTTTAAGAAGTCTTCAGAAGGTAGTTGGTGGCCACCTTTTGAAAAATGCTAATCTAGGATTTTAGTAATTTGAAAACTTTATGAAAAGGCAGAGCATCTGTTGATGTCCTCTCCCTTCCTTTCTTTTTAGACACCACACCTGAAACCATAGTAGTCCTGGAGATAGAGCACTCTGAGAGGCCAGGCCTTGGCTATTTGACCACTTCAGAGACAAGGGGAAGGAGTTTTGCTATACTGTAATCTCACACTATTGGTTCTACATTAGAAAGAGGACCTTATAAAAGAAGAGGGGGAAAGTGTGCTGGGCAAAAACAACCACCATCCATCACATACATAATAACGTTTTAATTCTCACATCAACACTTTGAGGTGTTTACTAATTGTATCCTTTTTACAGATTGGTCATAAAGCTTCGAGAGGCCATAAGTCACATAGCAAATGATTTGACTGAGATTCAGACTCAGGCGTGTCCACTCTGGCAATCCGTGCCTTCCCATTGCACCTTTTACTATTTTCCCCCATGGACACCTCCCCCATTATGAAAAATATCTTTTCCCTGCACTTATTAGATTGTAAGGAGCTCTGGTAGCATAGTGCCTAAGGCACTTGACTGCTAACCAGAAGGCTGGCAGTTCAAACCTACCAGCCACTCCTCGGAAGGAAGATTGGGCAATCTACTTCCATAGTGATACCACCTCAGAAACCCAAGGAAGGGTCACTATGAGTCAGGTCTGACTTGACGGCAAATAATAACACAACAACATTAGATTGTAACTTACTAATGCTCTGATTAAAAGAATCATTCAATATAGATAAAAAGAGCCAATGAAAGCTTGTGATTAGCGGGTGATAGTTGTCAGCCAGAGTTATAAAGGCTATAATCAAAAGCTACATTTAGATTTTGCTTTATTTAGCATGTATAGCCTTTATACCAATAGTCCATAGGTATTAATTACAGTATTCATTAGAGAGTTTGAAACATTAAAAGGAAATTTACCTCCCCTATTACTGCTTTGGCTGACTTGTCCTAGAGTTTTCTATTAGAAGCTCATCCCTGACCTGAGGGCCACAAACTTACGTACCAGGTGGGTAACAAAAACGAACAGAGTGGGTCAAGTGCAATGCACTTGGGAAAAGTTGGGGCCTGGAAGACTCACCAATTGTTGCTGTGCCGTGTTGCCCACTCAGGTGGCCAGGTCACCACCTTTTTAAATAATGCCTGAGATCTGAATTTTTATGAGAAATTTCTAAACACAATCTGAATTAACCGTCATTATTTTAAATACTGACTCAGGATGTGTCCATTTGCAACCTGTATTCAATGAATGTGTCTCCTAACTCTGCCCTCCTAGGACTGGTCATTTCTGTGGGTGGCCTCTCACTGCTTTGCGTCCTCTGTGGCTTGGGCTTCGTATCACTTGCCATATCAGGAATAGTCACCGTGTCTTATGTGGTGGTCTCCAGTCTCATCAGCTGCTGGTTTTCTCCCAGGTGAGTACATGTCATGGGACAATTTAAACTTTGCCATTTGGGATGATTTTCACAAATAATACCCTAACCCTGGTCAATGTCTAGAAGCAAAATCATTAAAGAAGCATGTGGTTCTCATAATTACCATATCAGATATCAAATGGGAACTTACACTGGAATTTCAAACCAGAACTATTGCTACCACCATCTG